AACAAAGATTTGCATGATCGAAGAAATTTGAAGGAGCTAATGGCAGTAATTGGTATTCTTGGTGCAATCTCTCCTAAACGAAAACATAGTCCGAGGGCATGATAAGACGGATCCATCTCAAAGCTGATTCCCTTGTCGAAACTATATGTCTTGAATATGGATGTGTTTTTGCAATACAAATACCTTCAAATAAACTTCTGGTTATGTTTTTCATGCCTCACCTTCTTTCGCATAGTTTTACATGTCTAGAGATTCTTTGAAGATCCTCCAATGCTTTTTTACGTAAAAGATCTGATACGCAGTTAATCAGTGCGGACCTAGGGGACGGGCGGGGAATCGCGTAATTTTTGAAAATTACGATATGGACTATAAAAATGTTCAAATGACTCACTCAATCTTGTAGAGAATTGAAATAATTTTTTCAAATTTTTTTGAGGAATTAAAATAGCCTTGTAAAAAAATTCCTTTTTGAGGGCGTGGCTGCCGCTTCTGCATTTGCCTACAATTCAAATTATGTGCATGGAATGCATCGTAATACATGATTTATTTCATAGCAATTGGAAAACTTTATAGAATGCACCCTCTCAAACTTGCAGTCTGGGCATACTATCTCGGGAGAGATCGCAAAAAAACTGGAGTGGTAGCAATTTAGTCGAAACCATTATGTTAACTGAGTTTTCAAGAAACCAGCTAACCAGCAGCTTCACATGATTTTCCCAACGAAACCACGAATTAACCAATAGGAAACCTCGAGCTATCTTGCAAAGCAAAGTCATTGGAGGAGATCGAAACTTCAACCATTCTCATGCTTGTCGGCAATCATTGCACTTTACCAAATTTGCAGTGCGTTTCCAGCCTTGCACCTTCCTATAACCTTATCTAAGCTGTAAACAAGTAAGCTTTCTCATAGTAAGTTGCAGAATGATCTCCCTCACTCTTCTTAACTTGCAAAACCAACACATCATTGTTTCAAACGAAAAAGTGGTCGGGGGTACTTTTTCATTTTAAACTATGATGTGGTGGTTTCACGTCTGCGTCTCATAAAATGAAGTGCTGTTTTCATTACTCTATCTGATAAGGGAACAGTGGTGTTAACCTGCTGTTTAACTCATAGTTTGGTTTAGAATGGAACAAGCATAAAACAGTTATGGTTTTCTGCTAGTTACTTGCTTGTTTCATGATTTTGTATGACCGATTGAACAGAGTAGCCGTGAAAAGATGATCATGCTTACCACGATGTAACCATGATTGAACTATCACATCATTTGTTGGTTTCGACCAAATTACTACCACTCCTGCTAATTTTAGACCTCCTCTGTTCAAACAGGACGTGGTGGTTTTTTCTTACGGCGGTCTCCTAAAACTTGCCCCATTAATATTTTTGGAACTTCAACTTCGAGAAATAACCTGAACTGGTTTTTGTAGCAGCACTGCGAAAAACATCTAGCGTACGATATGCTCGCCTTCATATCAGGTTGTCTCATTAAAGTCTCTGACTCTTAAACCTCAAAACTGATATTTTTCAAGAGCTAGGGCGCTATAGTGAAAATTACCGGCTCTGTTCAGTGAGTAGCTACTAGGTTGTTCTACAAATCTTTTCATACCTAAGTTTTCAGCGACATAAATCAGTTCTTCTTGAAATTTCAATAGAAAGTGGTTTACTTCGCCACATCAAAGCAAACTCTACAAAATGGTCAAAAGTTCGCACGTTAGTTAAAAGCTTAATCCGCAACAAGTTCCAAGCCAAAACAAAAAAAAATTCCCGAATTTCTGAAAAAAAACGAAAGTCGTCGTATCTCACAATTAGTTCAAAACAATTCTGCCAATTTCTCACTTTATCAGCATATACTCCCCTCATAGTATATTTATACATGCACTTGCTGCATTTTTCTGATGACTAGAAACTAAGAAAAAATAATGCGCTCAACTTTCAAACTTTGCCTGAATCAGTTCTCTGTTCCCCGAAAATAGGTGGTAATATGGTAGGTAAAATTATATAGCCCCTACTCAGAAATACTGCCACAAATTTGCAGTCCACTGGGTGCCCTAGTTTTTGAGAAAAAATCGAATTAAAGGTCCGATTATGAACAGACTTATGGGACAACCAGTACATACAAAAACCATGTTGTACATACAAAAACCATGTTAAGTAGATGTTCACAATGCATCTGAGGTACTCGATATTGCACAAACAGTTTTCGCTAAACTAAGCTTTAGCAGCACATGATTTATGCACAAAAAATAAAAGGCATAAAAAACGGGTTTTCGTAATCCACTCGTCAAATTTGCGGCTGACCTGCGGCGATCTGTAGGAACAAACGATACACCGAAGAAAGTTATGGCTGCGAAAACGTGTGTTTTCTGAGCAACTTTGAAGCGATTGACGAAATCATAAGTAAAAACAATTCCACAAATTTTTTGTTTTCGTAATCCCATGCGAGTTTGAAGCCTGTTAAAATAACGTATGGGCTTTTGCAGTATAAGTAATGTTTACAGATTTTTTTCGGCTAGCTAGCGACACTCTGCGATTTTCTGGCACCAAACTCAAAATTGCAAATTTTGAAGCCCCATATTTGAGAGCTCGTTCTCGGGGACTAGCTCATGAAATCTTGCGCTTAAACATCCATCTTGGAGCGCAGGCCTTCTAATATTTTTAGAAAACAAGATTGTGAATCTAGTTAGTCATTGAAAAGTTATTGAATTTTGTTTGAATTACGCAAGAACTTTCTAGCCAACCTAATATTTTTCTTTGGTTTTCATCTCCAGTTATAGATATTTTTTGATCGTTTTAGTCTCTTAGATTTGTAATCATAATTCATCACATATTGATGCATCCATGATATTCGATGCTAATCCTTCCCGATCACTGAGCTAAAAGAGCCTTAAAACTGAAATATAAGTTCCATTTTTTTAAATATTATTTTTCTTTTCTTTCAGTTTTTTTCATTTTATCTTCATTTTTTTATTTTTTTGCCGTTCGTTGCCTTGCACAGCGACATAAAATTCATGTCGTTCGTGGCCAAGCCTAGCGGAAATAGATCCGAGACGGATCTTTCCACCGTCGGTAATGATGTGCTGCATTTATTTGCAGCCGCTCTTAGTTTGCAGCAGTTGACTTTGCAAGGCTGCACTGATGCACTTGTGTGCGCACATCAAAATTTTTGATAATCTGTTTTAAGTTATTTTCAAATTTCAAAGTTCTACTGCACAATAGAAGCATGACACATATTAAGAAGCTGGGCTGAATAAATACCCAGCTCGTTTAGTGATCGGCGCTGACCTCAACATTTCCTGTTTTCTCCTGGATGCTCGTCTCACTGTTGTTTAGTTTTTGTAATTAATTATCGGTACTTTTCCGTTATCCGGACCCATTTTTTCAAAAAGCTCTCATAAAATACGTTCTTCAGTCTAAGAATAATTTTCTATGGATTCCACGAGGACTGCCTTCTTGCCACGTGTCAGAAAAATATTAACACGTTCTGGTCCATTTTGACATTTTTTTTTTCGAAACCACTGCCGGTGAGGCAAAAGAGCATTTGTGATTACCTAAAGGCTGTTTAATTGCTTTGTCGAGAGCAAAACAATCTGAAACTCATATTAGAACATCTTGATCGTTTCAGCACGATTCAGCATTGTCTTTCAAACTTTTCGTCTTGCGAATTTAGCCAGACGAGACTATGAATGATGGCTTGAAGTTCCGTACTATTGCTTGTTTTGTCATTCAGATAAAGGCATCCAGTCCACTTCTCTACTCTTGGTAAGTCTCATCTGTTTAATTAGTAACAGAATGACGTTATTATGATAACAACGCTCATTTTTGATAGTTTAATCGAAAATGGGGCCATTATTGACTAATAAAGAGATTACACTTACGTCGCTAAATAGGGTAACTCAAACTCTTGGTTGAACCATGTAAATGACATGTCAAATTTTTTTGAAAAGTGGCAGAAGGTTGACACTCCTTTCTATGAAGTCGGGACCAAATATGGTACAAGGGAAGAAGCAATATGCTTCTTCGGAAAAATGGGTCCGGAAACGGAAAAGTACCTAATTATCTTTTCTTCTGGTAGTAATCATTCTCAGGATAAATGGTTTGTCTTATGTCGCTCACATATGAAGTCAGATAGTCGCTAACTCGCTTCTTGGAGGCGCTGGCCCCGAGGCGACTTTGGTTGCACGGGGCATGAGCCTCTACATGAGTGACTCATATCTTGGATGCTGCACATAATTCTCTGCTTCCAGTTTATGCAACGGATCACATAAAAAGTTTTTGTTTTGGTACATTTATATCAAATCGCAACCAGAAATGATGAGATCTTGGCAAGTCCTAATGATATTCGTAACTGCTGATGTGGATTATTTCAACGCTCACAGATGATCATATCGTTACTGGTCGTGTATTTGAGATAGTACATGCAAGAGAAGGACTTTTTAGAATTTTCTTGCCAACTTTTTGGTTACAACTGCCAGCGTAGAACAGCAAGTACAAGCACATTTCTAGCTTTTGCAGTCTTCCTGATACATCGAAGTAATGCGGAGTAAACAACGTACCTTTTCATTTTATTTATAGGATATATAATGTATTGGTTGGTGGTGGGGATATATCAGAACTATAAGACTTCGAATACCAAACCACAACCAAAAGTATTGCCACGCGGGACTTCGTATACGCACGAGCACACCTCAAACTTGGGTAATTAAACTTTATCTGGTTAACAAGAATAGCAACAATAAACACGATTAAATGGATAACAATGGATAAAATGAATAAATGAGATATAAACTACAAATATAACAAATTGAGAGAAGGCAAAACTAAAGAGCAAAGCGAATGGCGGAAGCAAGCAAGTGCAACGATACTTATATACATGACTCTATTCTTCTAGCTGCAGCTGCGCGCGACTTCACAGATGACGTCCGAAAAACAATGCATCTGTGCTAGCATCTGGCCTTCTCCAGAAATATGCTACGAGATGACTAACATCTCGTATACTCCGGCCTCACCAGGGAGAGTGCGAGGGACCAGGTCTGTCGGGGCTTCTTTCCCTCGGGCGTTTCCGTCTGTTCTCCTTTATCTGCCTCGCCAGCTCGACAATTTGCTGCTTCGTATCAGAGATCTCTTTGAGAAGTAACTTGTGTTGTCTTTGTGCTTCAATATTCATCTGAAGATCTCGTTCCTTTCCTTTGTTCAGTGCGTTATCAATCTGCTGCTGCACCCAGTTCCGGGTTTCTTCTTGTTGTTGTTTAAATTCGCTCGCGAGCTCCATGATAGCGTTGTTCAGTTCTTCTCTTGCTTGATCCTGAACAGGTCTGGCTTCACCGATTTCTTGTTCAACATCGCGAATTTCGTCCAGCTCAGCCTTCAAGACGACGTTGTATCCTCTTTTAATCTTCTCGACTATCGGTATCACAGTTTCTCTCTTGTAGTGTCGGTGCTCAGATTGTGGCTCCGGATAGTTCTCATCGCCTGGTGTTGTGGGCCTCAGGATAACGCTTTCTTCCAGCTGCTTTATGTACAGAATGCGGTCTCTTTCCTGGGCTTCATTGGCCACCACGAGTCTTTCATACCATTCATGCGCAAGTGTGAGCTGGTCCATCCACATACCAACTTCATGTTTCTCCTGCTGGTGTTGCGAGTGAAGATCCTTCAGTTTCATGATATAGTCCATATATTCTATCAGGTTGTGTGGTATCTCCCATCTGTCCGATCTCAGCTCGGTGAAGTCCAACTTTGCTTGTTTGAGATGGTCTTCATACTCTTGGCATTTCTCTGCGCAGGCCCTTATCTGTTGCTGAACTTGCTCCTCGTTTGGTTTCGGGGGCGACGGAGCTATGGCCGGTAATGGTTGCAGCATTCTTCCTCTCTGTGCATCCATGATTGTTCTCCCTGTGAAATCAAAGTTAGTGTGTGGAACTGTTAATTACCATAAATGAAGTACTGGAAACTTGCATAAACTGCCCGCGGTGTGCTGTAGCCATGCGGACATGAATAACAATTACGGCCATGCGATAAACGTTGGACGTGAAACGCTCTCCGCTACTGAGCGGTTGACATGTCTACAGGATGAATAAGGTTACAAGGGTCGAGATTGTACATACAACAATAAATACGGTGAGTAAAATTACTATGAGAGAAATTTTGTGCAAACTAAGAGTGAGTGCTCATGCAGGTGCATTGATTTTATAGGATTTTTTTCTCCGAGTTTCTCTTTTTTGAGTGACAAAGCATGCGGAGACATCGAAAGGGTAATATCACAAAGAATTTAAGCAAATGATATGCTGATATGAACAACGCGTAGATTACACGACAAAAGGTTCTGATGACAGACAGAACACAGGCATTGGAGGCATAGAAATACGTTATTACCAAGGCAACGATTACTACCAGTACTGTCGCTCCTAGTATACAGTACCACATCAAGAATGTCTGTGCCAGATGCGAGAAGTCTGGTAAGTTTATCTCCGAGAATAATTCACTTTCGCCTTGTAGAACTCTTCTCGCCGCCATATTTAAGTTGCCCGTGTAGTGTAGGATACCTGAGATCTCGAATGTAGTTTGAACCTTTCCGCATCGCACTGTGCAGTTCCGATAAAATTGCGCTTTATCAGCAACGAATGTGACATTGGTCTCCGTCCCTTCCTGACTGCATGGGATAACAAATAGGCTGTCTTCACACTCGACCTCAGCTTTTGTTGCTGCTACTGAAGATGCACATTAGTACTGCCATCGCTCCTTTAGCACAGTTGTAGCATCCTGTGCTATAGGCGTTCTCCGCTGAACAGATAGCGTCGGATCGTAGTGCTGTAATGCGAACTTTGCTCCTCATTCGAAGTATGAATTCTGCTGTCGGCAGTTGAGGTATCCGAGCTGTGACCTTTTCATCGATAGCGCGAAATTCGAGATTAGGACGTATAATCGGCAATCGGTGTTGTGGAGTGCTGATTAGGGAAGTGAGATTTACCTCTTTGCAATCGCACATCATTTTTGTTTCGGCTGCGGCACATTTGCAATCCTCGTATACATCACAGGTGAGGTTTTGCGCATCTTCCCATGTCCTACATACCAACGGCGGCTCCTGGTGCGCTTCCACCGTGGCGTATCGCTTTCCGTCTGTGAGAAATATCGAATTCAAGGCCGGCGTGGGTGGTGTGCTCAGGGATGAAAGGGTTATAGTGAACGATGATATGCTTTTTGGTTGATTCGGTATGACCTGGAAGTCGTGGCTGTGCTGCACTGAACCTTGTTCGCTTACGGTTAGTTTTAAGTGTACGAACTGTTTCCAACGTGGACATCTGAAGATTTCGTACACATTCTCGTCCGTTGGAACAAGGTATATCCTGTAATATAGGCATCCCGAGCTAGGATAAAAACAATCGCAACCTGGTCCTCCACAGCTCTCGACACATCCAGTGACACCCGGATAATCGTTGACTCACTGCAGTTCCTTCACCTTTGATGTCCGTTGTATCCCTGCGCATTTTTCTCCTGCACATGATCCGGCATGAGGGCAGCGTTTGCTATCCACTAGTGCGTATCTAGTGCTTCTGAAGAACAGGAGAGTTTCCTTTTCGCAAACAAGGTTGAGATTCTTCCAAGCCAGCTTGATTTCCAAAACGCTAGTATGGTTACTCGTAAGTCTCATGCACGCTTCTTGTTTGAATGGATTGATTTTCAGTATCTCTGTGGTGTCGACGGTGCAGTATTCCTCGTTTCCAGATTGAGTGCATGCTTGCGTCTGGTGCGTTAACACTTCAACATCTTGGCATCCGGCTGCTAGTCCACTAATGCAGAGGATCGTAAGAAGAACAACATCTCTCATCCATGCTCTTCTTCTTCTTCGTCGGTCGTTGCCTGTTGCGATTTTCAGCAATCGGCATAGTAACCTGAACATCAGCCATCCGCACATTCCTGCCAGCTTTAGTCCATAGAGTATCGGTGTTCCTAACAGCACTGGCACGCGGAACAGGCAGTAGCACATGGTTATCGCCAAGTATACTAGCAATCCGGTGACTAGTATAGCCGTGCGTGGCCAGCATTCTGGATTGCTCACCATCACTGCGCAGAAGGTGCAGTCTATCTGTTCGCAAAACGGTGCTGCCTTGCACGTTGTCTCCATTATGTGAACGTCTTCACCGTCGAAGATTTTCCATTTGACGAGTTGTTCGTGCAGAGTGATTTGTGGGGGAAATCTTACTATTTCCTGTTGCCGCGGCGTTTTGAATTCCATGCAGAAGTCTTCTGCACAAATTTCGTAGGGCTGTCGATTTGCTTGCAGAAGAGACACTCCTCCTTCAATGCACTGGAGTTGGTAGCTCTCGTTGCTGCTTGATCCCGCTGTTTTCGTCACGCACAATGAAAGTAGAGCTACCGTGAGCAGCGATGTTACGGATGAGGCGAAGGTTGGGGCTTTTCTGCGCGTCGGTTCTTATTCTTTCTGTTCATTATAATTGGTGGGACGTCTGGAACGGAGGTTATATCGAGTAGCAGGTGCCTCCGATGGGAAGGAAGTCTGCGGGATCTCCTCTTTGTCGATTTCTAGAGGTACCACTCGATTTATAGGTCGTCGTAAGCGTCGCTTGTTTGGCGTTTCCACGACGACTTCTCTCGTCGGCTTTTGAGGAGATTCATCTACTTGTACGATTCGTGCGGTTTTCCATGTGTTCCTGGGCTGTACTGCGTCCCACAAGAGTACGATATCTCCTTCCTTTGGCGATTTTTTTGTTCCACGCTTCTCGTTCATCCGAATTTTATGCTGCTCTCTCAGGCTCTTAAGGTACTGTTCAGTCCAGACTTTCCAGAACTTTTCAGTCAAGGTCTACAGATGTTTTCAGCGCCGCTTCAGTTTGACGTTGTGTAGCTAGTTGTTGTGCTTCTTCTGGAGTGTGGTAAATTCGGTCTTGTCCTTCTCTACCTATGTACTCCAGAGGATAATCCAGAGTCATCTTGTTTTGAATGAAGTCTATGGGTCGAAGTATTGGTTGTTCTTCCCATTTTTCCTCCTGATAAGTTAGAGGTCGTGAGTTCAAGACCGCTTCTATCTCCGTGAGCATGGTCCTGAGGCCATCAAAAGTGATGGTTCGCACTCCAAGCGTTTTGTACAGCGAGTTTTTGATGGAGCGGATAAGCCTCTCATAAAATCCACCCTGCCACGGTGCATAAGGCGTTATATGGTTCCATCTAATCTCTCGCCATGCTATTTCGCTTCCTACTTCAGTGCTGTTGACTATATTTTCTGTGGCGTCTTTCAGGATTTGCTCCCCCAACAGGAATGTTGGTGCATTGTCAGAAGTGAAAGTTTGCGGTACTCCTCTTCTTGCAAAGAACCTTCGAAGCGCGTTGAGGAATGCTTCTGTGGTCATGTCGCCCACGAGCTCCAAATGTATGAGCCTTGTTACTTGACATGTGAAAATGCATCCGTATGCCTTATTGGATTCGTCGTGATTATCAATGTCGTCAACGGTCCGAAATAATCCAATCCTATATGCTCGAACGGGCGTGCGCGGTGTACCCTTGTTACTGGCATCGCTTCCATGTCGAGATAGGCAAATGGGAGATTGTTCATCTTTTGGCATGGGACGCATCTTTGAATCAGGCTTCGTACTTGTTGTCTGAGCTTAGATATCCAGTATTTTTCGCGTACGGTAGCCATTGTGTGGGCGATTCCACGATGATAGTGATTGTGGACCTCTGAGATGATGAGACGTGCCAACGTTGTTCTAGGTGCGATGTAGATGGGTGTTTTTGCTGTGATTGGTACATCGGATTGCTGCATGCGTCCATAGCAGCGTAAAACTCCTCTCTCGTCTCGTTGAATGTTCAGGTCCTTTTGTGACTTAATTTGGTGTTCGTCCACGTAAATTCTCTGGTGGTCGCGAATTAAGCACATTTGGCTTTCCTGCATCTCAACTCCCGTGATAGTCTGCGACATCGAAACTCCTTTGAGTGCCGATATGTGCTCTTGCACAGCAACCTTCCTTTCGTGAGGTAGATGATTTATGGATCTGTGTATGAAACGCAGAACGTAGACCAGCACTCTCTGAGCTCTTTCGAGGGTGCTAAATCTGGTTAAATCGACTAATTCCTTCTCAGATGTTCTTTCTGTTACTGCCAAAGTCACCGTCTCCACTGGCATCATCGTCGTCTCTGATCCTTCGATTGCGTTCAGTTTAGAATGGTCTGGCTTGCTCGTGAAACTGGGTCCTGTCCACCAGAAGTGATTTTGAAACGCTTCCGATGATAGTCCTCTGGTTCCGCAATCAGCTGGGTTTTCTGCTGTTGAGACGTGTCCGAAGAGACATGTCGTGTTTCGACCGCGGAGGTCATTGCTGATTCGCCTTATCTCTGTTAGTCGGTTTGTGACCAAAACGCCTGCGCTCTGACGTGATGGAGGAGTGTGTATCCATCCTAACACGATATCCGAATCTGTGTAGAGGATAACCTCCTTGATGTTACAAAGTGGTTCCAGTGCATCGCAGATAAAGTGGGACATTCGCACGCCTAGCGTTAATGCATTCATTTCCAACTTGGGAACCGTCATTGAAGTTTTGATAGATGGAATTTTGGATTTTGCCATTATGATGCTGGATTCTTCTTGAGAGGTGAGATATGCGCATGCTGCTATTGCGCACTGGCTAGCAACATTGAAGACGACGAGTCTGTGGCCATCGGATTTGTTGAGGATTCGTCGATTCACCTCCTTGTAAAATGTGGAGATTTCTGATGTTATTTGATGCCACTGATCACGCAATTGTGCTGGAAGCGGTGTGTCTCAGTCCAATCCTTCCTTCCATAATGACTGCATGAATATTTTTGCCGGTAGTAGGTAGTAGTAGAGGCACCAGAAATCCCATTGGATCATACACCGAAGCAAGTTGCTGTGTGACTGTTCGCTTGGTGTCGTTTCCCTTCAAGGTTGCCAACGAGCCTTTGATTATGAGTTTGTCCGTTTCCGAATTCCATGTGATGCCTAGGACCTTGGGGGAGGTGGATTTCATCTTGTCGGCCTCATCAATGGCGTTGCAGAAGGTTTTGTCGTTGGAGCAAAATTCTCTCAAGTTCATTTTGAGGTCTTGGAAGAGCTTCTTTGTGTGTGCATACTTCAAAAGTGCTTCGTTTGAAGATTGTGCACCAAAGAATAAGTTGTCCACGTACAAATTCCTTCTTATTTCCGGGGCCATGTCGTCATCAGCTGTAGTTTCTAGGTGATGATCTATCGTAGCGCTTAACAGGAAGGGAGAAGCGTTGAGTCCGAAGGTAACTCTGGTGAATCTGTAGACCACTATGTTATCCGGCGTGGGTGGAAGTGAGATATCCCTGACCCAAATACAACGGGTGGCGTCGCGGTCCTTTTCTTGCAGTCGTACTTGTAGGTATGCCTTTTCGATGTCCGACATCACTGCGATACTGTGCATTCGGAATCGAAGCAGAATTCCAACCAAATCCGGGAGGGTGAGAGGGCCTTGATGGAGTACGTCGTTGAGGCTAGGGCAGTCTTTGTAGTGGGCTGGCGCGTCAAAGACGATTCTCATCTTTGTCGTTTCCTTAGAGGGAGTGATTACCGCCTGATGCGGTAAATAGTAGACTACTTCTCCTTCATCAATGTACTTCGATATTACTTCTTCTATTATTCCCTTCTCTTGTTGTTCCTTGAAGATGTTGTCGTACGCTTGTAGTGTCTTCGGGTCCTTTTGATATATCTCCAGGATCTTTGCAAGACGTTTCATTGCTAGCGCCTTGTTATCGGGGAGTTCGGGATGGTTCTCTTTCCATGGTAGGCGTACGTAGTAGCCGTCCCTTTTCTCGATGGACTCCTTAAAATTTTCCAATACTTTCTCGTTTGTTTTCTGGAGCTCCGTTTTTTGTGGACCAGTGTACTCCTCCGTACCGGTGGATTCCAAAGACCAGTAGCGGTTCCATGTCTCCTTTTCAGTTTCATGTCCTTGGAGTGTGCATGATACCGCCAGCCTTTGGCGCGTGTATCCTTGTCGACCGCTAATGATATATCCTAGCTTGGTCGGTATCAGGTGCAGTCCCGAACGCAGGTTCAAATTGCTGCTGAGTTCCATGAAGTTCCAAAGGTAATCGCAACCTAAGGGGATTTGTGGTCGCAGGTCTCCACCTTCTACAGGCAGGGACAAATCGTACTTTCCTTCCTTGATGAACCGTAGATCTTCAGGGTCGAGGTTCGCTCGCTGTACAGCGCTTGTAATATAATCATTCTTGTACAGCTGTACTTCGTGTTGTGTGCCTTCTTTGTCCAGCATCTTCAAAACGGTTTTGGCGCACGTTCTTGTCTTCACTGCAGGTGACCCAAACGTACTGAGCTCGAGAGAGGCTGTGCCTAATGTTGGCAACTTGAGCTCGTTTGCAAGCTCCTCTCCAATAAAAGAGAGCTCTGAACCTGTATCCAGCAAGACGACAGTTTCCCTTTTGTTCCCATCAGTGTCGAGTACCTGGATTGCTCCTGCGAGTAGGACTACTCTGTTCTGTCTCCAGCCATTTTCTTTCTTGAGCTGTAGTACTGTTGGAGTTTCGGCATTTTCCGTTGCTCGCTGTTTCGTTTCGTGAGTGTCTTGTCCGATTGACTCCGTTACCACATGCTGCTTCGAAGAACAATAAGGTTTTGCTGGCGTCTTCGGCTGATTTTTGGGTGTTCTTGGTACTTCTGTTCTCTTCTGTTGACTTCGCTCCGATCGATTTTGCGCGCCTTCGCCCGGCTTTTGTTCCATACATATTGCCGTATGATGTTTTTTGCCGCACTTTCGGCAGTTGCCGCTAAGGCATGAAATTACTCTGTGATCAATCGATCCGCAGTTGATACATCTGCCAGTGTCCAAAAAACTTTTTTTCTGTGCTGCTGTAGGAATTTGCGAACAATTCATCCACCCGTGTCCGTTACCTCCACAGCATTCACAAAGGTTGCTTGGTTTCCATCTGCCGATCGGTCCTGACGGTGATTTCATCGCCACCGTATTGTGACTTGCATGATTTCTTGTTTGTGTTTCGACCGAGAGCATGTGGTTTATCTGTTCCTCTTGTGATATGACGTCATCAAGGGCGTCGAGCCGTTGGTCCAATGTCCACTCGCTATTGTTTTCTTCTTTGTGTCTAAGTCGTTTCTCCATAGCTGCTTTCCTAATGCGTACGTGAAACTTCTGGAGAAAGATTTGGATTGTTATCTGATTGCTGAGGTGCTTCTTCTAGTTGCGCTGCGATAGTTGAAAGTTTGTCCCATAATTGACGCTGATCTGCGGTGGTGGGTCCTCTTGCCAAGCAGTTGTGTAGACTTTTGTTCAGTTCCAGTATAATGCCATCTTTGTTGCCATAGCGTTTCGCCAAATGCTGTATGGCTTTTTCGTAATTATTTGCTGATACGAAGAATCGCGAGATCGATTGCTTCGCCTCCCCACTCAGGGCTGACAGTAAATAGTTAATTTGCAATTCCGTTAGATCCTGGTCGTGTACGTTGGCTTTGAATATGGCCCAGAAGTTGTCCCATTCCCATTTCTTTCCTGTGAAGCTTGGGATAGGTATAGTTGGAAGTTTGCTGACTGCTGCAGAACATTGGTGGTCGGTTCCACTTGTTCGGAGCGTAGCTGCCGTCGTTATTTCTTGTAGCATCTGCTTGGTATTGGATTTGTGTGCGTATAACTTCATGATAGTCTCTTGAGCAATCTCCGCGTGCTTGTCTAACTGATCTTCTTCTTCGTCTGTGGTATCCTGAAGTTTATCGAAGGCTTCCGTGAGTTTAGTTAAGGATGCTTCGAGAAGTTCCAGATATTCGTCACACCTCGCCACAGTCATTGTGAATTCCTTGACTTGTTCTTGTTGTGTGCTTTTTCCCTTCAGGTGTTGAAGACGCTGTGTGGATTCTTCCAACCATGCCAGAGCGACTTGGCTTCTTTTGGTCATCAGTCCCTTGTACGCTCTTACTGTAGTTGTCATTATGGAAGTGCAGGAAAGAAATTCTGTGCAATTCTAGTATGTGCAGATGATCCACTATCGTGCAACAATCAAAGCGTATCGTGCAAAGCAAGCGAGACACACTTTATCTTCTGCAATAAAAGGTACCTCTTGATTTGGTCGATGCACCACTTGTATTGGTTGGTGGTGGGGATATATCAGAACTATAAGACTTCGAATACCAAACCACAACCAAAAGTATTGCCACGCGGGACTTCGTATACGCACGAGCACACCTCAAACTTGGGTAATTAAACTTTATCTGGTTAACAAGAATAGCAACAATAAACACGATTAAATGGATAACAATGGATAAAATGAATAAATGAGATATAAACTACAAATATAACAAATTGAGAGAAGGCAAAACTAAAGAGCAAAGCGAATGGCGGAAGCAAGCAAGTGCAACGATACTTATATACATGACTCTATTCTTCTAGCTGCAGCTGCGCGCGACTTCACAGATGACGTCCGAAAAACAATGCATCGGTGCTAGCATCTGGCCTTCTCCAGAAATATGCTACGAGATGACTAACATCTCGTATATATAATTCCAAATAACAAATAGTCATCACATCGAAGTCTTAAAGGCACCGTCCACCCAAAGTGAGGGTTGATGAGATTTCGGTGCATACTAGTGTGGGCCCCCTCACTAGGCAAACCCCCAAGTAGCGCCACAAAATACTCCCTCCGAAGCGAGAAATCCGCTCCGGAAGGGACGTAACCAGAGGTGGTCACTCCGCCCACTTTGCAGGCGCACCGTTGGAGCTGCTACACGCACAGCGCGTACACTGCCTTGTCGTAGGCGACTAATCGGAGTTTTTCTAGTGTTATTTCGTGTATTAGTATTCTTAACCGTTCGTTTTTTATTCAATCATGCCGAATATAGCTATCATCAGCATCCGGCATAGTTGTTTCTTGATGTGAACATGATCTTTCTTTATAGCTGACGCTTTGTCAATGAAACAAGATGAACATGCGAAGAGAACGTGAGTTTTTTTTTCATTGCAATGTAGTTACATCAAGTTCAAGAACTATTTGTAGTCAAAATGATCGTTGTCGTCGTTACTACATGACTATTGGATCATTGCAATCTGTCACGCATTTCTGCGCAGCTCACTTGCTATTGCTGTATGTTGATCATGACGTGTTATTAAATTATTTGATGGAATTGCTTTGCAGACAAGTGAATCCTTTTCCATTTCCTAATACTCCTAATCGATTGCATAATTGCCCGTGACTAGTTTGCAATTTACGCCCTGCGTATATCAGCGCGCCTGCAAAGTGGGCGGAGTGACCACCTCCGGTTACGTCCCTTCCGGAGCGGATTTCTCGCTTCGGAGGGAGTATTTTGCGGCGCTACTTGGGGGTTTGCCTAGTGGGGCGCCCACACTAGTATGCACCGAAATCTCATCAACCCTCACTTTGGGTGGACGGTGCCTTTAAGTATTTGATGTGAGCGCATCTATTAATTTTGAGAACGTAAAAGTGACTTCGAGGAGGTAACAAAAACAATAGCAAATATTGCTAGAAGAAAAAATTGGATTCTGCATAAAGTATATTCTCTACTTCTGGTTTTGCTTAAAAAGAAAAGAACTAAAGGAAAAATATGTCTTAGAAGCACCCTTACAAGAACAACCACACATTTGTGCACAATCATGGAATCGTTAGTTTGCAAACATAAATGGTACAGTTCAACAATATCAGAGCAGTGGCATAGCGTTCTCGAGTACCTAGTTTAATAAAAGATGTTTATCACACTATTAGACAAGCACTTAAAACGAGACATAATAAATCTTATCCAGGCATTGAAAGGCATCGGGTTTTTTTTGTTTTTGTTTTGTTTTGTTTTTTGCCTGTGTAACTTTCTTTAAAGAATGAGACACAAAGCCGGCTTTAAAGGCAGTGTCCGGGCAAAAACTAGATTTTAAATCTCTTGTGCTTACCCGGCCTATTCACTACGTGAATCCGAAAACGCGCATAGGAGCGCGCGAAAAAGAAGAAAAACGGTCCTAACGTAGGAGGGAATTCAGCAGGTGAGCGAGGTCCTGCCCACTGTGAATTCAGATCCCAGCTTCCGAAGCGATTCTCTCGCTCCCGATTTAAGTTAGCGATGTTAGAACGGCTAGCGGAATTGAGAAGACTGTTCCGAAAGCCGGGAGCGTAAATTCACTGTGGGTAGGACCCCGCCCTCTTGCTTTTTCCCTCCTGCGCTAGAGCCCTTTTTTGCCGTTCTGCGCGCTTTCCAGTGCGGATTTTCGGATTCAGCGTGGCGAAAACGCCCACATAAGCACAAAATCTGAAATTCGAGATTTTGTTCGGACATTGCCTTCAATTTCGTCTTGCAAATGGAGAAATCAAGCCAGAAGAAAATGAATAGATCGGTAGCTGCAGTGATTTCGTACATATTCATTTCCTCTATCATGGCACGTCGCTATTTCAACACATAGCAAGTGCAGCAACAAAATCGTTAAAGGTAGTCAACAGGTAATCGATAATTCTCAAACCCAATGTTTTGTAATCAGCGTGCACAAATACCCCTGTGCCAATTTTTAGCCGCCTAAGTCAAGTTGAAAAATACCGGCTCCGCTCCGGGATTCATAGCGCAAGCAAATCTTTCACCGACATAAAGGCTACTGGTCTCTCCTGTCGCCATCACTGACCGCCGTTATATTTTCGTTTTTTTTGGAATCCTCAGCAACTGGACCTTACTTCACGCATGTTGTTAAGGATAGGAGGGACCCAGAACTGCCGTAGCGCTTGGAAGGATTTAGTGTATATTACAGTAAGGATGTAAGTGAATTTCAGGAATTCCCTCAGTCCGCCACTGCAGCAGACTGGAATCATTCATGCGTGGAGCCGTCTCCGTAGTTCAAACGCAATTATAAATCAAATCTTCACAGCATTGTTTTGTTCGAATCACCCTGATCGTAATCGCCTCCCTCCGCATTTGAGCTATTGAGGACACAAAGTGGAAAATCCTGCCTGTCTTACGTTAGCAGCCGCTTCCATGAATTCTGCCAAGCACCTATCAAGCGTCTATCATATCGTCTATCATAAAGCGAAGATATGAATTGCTTGTGGTTCAAGAGAGTATAAACAATTGCACTTGAAGCTCGATTGTCGAGTAATCCTGTCATCTTCCATATAACTTTGATGTATTATTTGAGCAGTGGCCAAGATTGGCATCAATCTTATTTCTCGGCTAACGTTTCAGAGTACAACTCTTCTTCGGAGCCTAAAAGATCAAGAACTATGCGAGACTGTCCTCAAAAGCACTCAGTCTTCTAGCAGATACTTTTCATCACAAGGTATAATATTAGGTCGTTCCAAAAGTAATGTCGCTCTTTTCGAATGAAAAAAGATCTTAGGAGCTTTCGATGCAGCTTTTCATCCCCTTTCTAGTGATTGCAATTTCACTGCATAATGTTCGATGAGCTCTCGAAAAATTACCAAAATCTGCGACTCATGCTTTTTGCCATGGTTGAGTTCAGCTATTTTTCTATAGTTTTGTATCTAATCTCCGAAGAAGTGTAAGTGGCAGGTAGATAGAGCAAACACTATAGAACATAGAGTAATTTTTTCTTTTCCTTAGCTTGCTTCTCAGAGTTTCTACAATCAATTTCTTAATGCCATCAAATTCCATACTTGGTCAACTCTAACCTCACAGAACAACAACCGGCAAGCGACTCGGGTGTCATTCAATGCAGCTTTTTCTCCTCTTTCTAGCGGTTGTTTTTTGTTTCCTAATCATCAGGTTTTCCGAGATAAAATCATCATAATTCAACTTCTCAAGGCACCCCAAGGTGTACTCGAAATTTTGGAAAGTTGCTAAACCGAAGCTGTGAATGCTCGTTTGGTTTGTAAAATTGTTGCCAAACCATAATCCATCTTTGTAAGTTTCAAAATCCGAAGACTTGTCGGCGTTTGATGCACTTGTGTCTGAGACGATCCTGCTAAAATTCGGCGATTCCATCAAAAATACTGTACAAAAATTATGACGAGCTTGAAAGGTAGAAAAAAGTTGTGCTGTTTCCTATATGGTTTGCTCCATCCATCCATTACTTGAACTCCTTCTGAGATTGGTTAAAAAATTTTAGAAAAATTGTGAAATTTGGCCATTTTAAAAAGCATAGGTCGCAGATTTACTCTTTTCTGGAAGCTCATTGACTGCATTGCAACAACTTTATAACCATTAGAAAGAGAATAAAATGCTGCATCGAATGCTTCCAGAATTTCTTTCAAATCTTTGTTCCACGAGATGTGGCATACGTTTGGAAAAAGCGACATTACTTTCGGAACGACCCAATAGTTGCGAGATAAGGGCAGAGACCATAATTAGACTAATGCTTACCTCAATAGCCAACAACAGAGACTACGAGCAGACCACCTTTATAGATAGCGCCGTTACTGTGTACTGTTACATTCCTATTTATACAGCATAGACGACCTGACCTAGACCCGCCGGTCAAGAGCCACGAAAGGCTTGATACGGTGCTAATTCGGTCGTCACAGCAATGCACTCTTCTTTGCGATTTATTTCTGGAGCTTTCAATGCTATTCAAAATGCCTCCAACGTCTTTCGCGCTACTGTAACAGGCTCCTGCGATAAGATGGCCGCAGCCACGTTATAGTGGTGATCGTTATGGCATTACCTGCGGTGGACGCCTAGAGGAGTAAACGATTTCGATTCTTCAAGCCCGTCTAGGTGCATCTTGACCCATACGCACAAAGTCCTGCCAGTTTCCCTACGTACTGATCTTCACTACTAATCTTCACATGTCTGGCACGTAATCAGATATGCTATTCCAAACTCCATGCAATCCCCCTGTCCTCCGAAAGGACAATTGACGCAATTAGGACTTCTGCATAACCTGTCGTGAGCACGACAGGTTATGCACAAGTCCCAATTGCGTATAAGTTGTTGGGTCAGACCCATAATAAATAGTTTCCGGGGTCCCAATGATAGAATATCTTGGCTG